AAAAAAAAAAAAAAAAAAACAAACAGGCACAACAGCACAACAGAGCACGCCCATCCAACGACAGCACCTCCCAGCCCCGGACACCACCCGACACACAACACACGTCTGCATTCGGCCAGGAAGCAGCGCAAGGAAGCAGCTCACCGCTCAGCATTTTGACGGCCTCCACAACAACACGAGAAGCGAGTGCCCGAGGGCACGACCTGAAAGAGCACTACAACGACCACAGATCGAGATTCCCGGAGTCCCATCACATCAGCAACCCCACTGCACCGGTTCCGCAATTTACCATACGGGCACCAGACTCCCTGCAAATGCAAGTAGAAAACCTCGTCCACATCATGTTCGATCCAACCGCCCACAGCATCATAACCGACGAGCAAATCCGACACTGGCAACTCTACCTGCAAAACAAGACATACGCCGACCCCTACTACACCTTCCCCAACGACTTCATTCACGACTGCATCTTTCACTTCAACGCCGCTCTGCACCGAGAAGTGAAAGGTTTCATCCAGCATGCCATCCACCACATCCACCACAACAAAGAGCACCAACCCAACGCACAACTCATCCTCTGGCAGCGGAACCTGCGTTTCCGATGCAAAATCCAACCATTTCTGTTCTCAACGTGGAGACAACTGATCTACGACGCCGAGCTGGACGATCTCGCCAACTCCCTCGGCTTCGCGTTCCCAGTAGAGCAGCCGTAAACCTGCGTGCACGCACAGACGCACAAATGCACGCAACACCAGCATCCAAATGTACAGATACAGACGCAGATAAAACAAACGAAGCAGAAGCAGCAGCACCACGACCATTTGCAAACTGCAACAATAAGCACAACGGAGTCGTTAGAAGTTCAAGCCGCACAGGTCCCCACACTTACATCGCGAGACGCCCCGAAAGAAACCTAACTAAAGACACCACAACAGCAATCGAATATATAGATCCGCCCACACGCACGCACACAAACACACAAGCACACACAGAAACACACGAACGCACGAACACGAGAAAGCTTCAACAGAAACAACAAACAGGACATCAAGACGGCCCAGAGCTCAATGAGCGACAGACGCCACAAACCACCGAGCCATGCCACCACGCAACACCACGCACATACAGGACCTCCCCGTCTCCTGCACGAGCAAAATACTCAACTATCTCACCTTCCCGGAGCAAGTACCAACCTTGTCGTCATGCGACAGCTTCCAAACCGACTTCCAGCAACGCTGCGAGAAATTCCGAGCCCTCGCTCGCTATGCCAGAGAGGCACTGGCACCACTTCACACGCAGCCCCCCCTCCGACTGCCCGGTTTCCTAACACCAACAACCGTGCTAGTCGAAAGCATGAGCAAGTACTACTGCACGCGCAGCAGCAACGATCCCGAACCCTGGCTGTCGGGCAGCTACGCGAACCTCCAGGAATGGCTCGAGGAAGTCGGCATGGGCGCGTTCTCGCCCTCAGAATCCATTCTCATCTTAAACGCCTGGACAGCAAGAGAAGCAGGCAATCGAATCAGCGACTTCCTGCGCGAAGCTTTCACTGGCTACTTCTACATCCCGCAACCGCCCACGCATAACTACCCAGACAACGGCGCCGGCCTAGTCATCACGTTCAGCTACCGTGGCTACGACGGAATCATTTGGGCAGGCACACTTGCCAAGCAACGCATACAACAAATCCAAGAAAACGCCGGACCAACGCCATAGTAAGTCTCAGCGCGCGACGCCAAAGTCCAAATGAAACCCATCCGACAAAGCGATGCAAGAGAGACAAAACAAAGGCACACCAATTAACCAACGGCAGCGATCAAATCCAAGAAAACACAAACAAGAAAGACTATCAGCAAACCTCCGAGTCCAAATTTAAACCGACCCCCAGTGCCACAATACCGGCTTCACCCCAAAAGCAAAAAAAAGAAAAAAAAACAACCAACAAACCCATCGCAGAAACTCCAGGCTCACAGCTGCCCTAGCCACCAATCACAAAGCTTCCGCAACATGAGCGCAAGCACCGACGGAGAACCCCTGCCGAGAAGCCCCACAACCCAGGCATCGAAAGGGCAGCAAACCTCCACAGCAACACGCGCAGGGTTTCAACAAACACAACCAACAGCAGGACCAGACCGCCCATCCACCACACCCCTCCACACACAACCCCATTCAACCAAGCAACAACAGAAAACACGCAAGCACACATCAAAATCGCCGAGAACGGACCACCCACATGCCCCAAATACCCGCTCAAACACGCAGGTGCAAACGCAGCAAACAAATCCGGAACCAGACTCTCTGCGCACAGACACCGCAACCAGCTCGGTGAAAACGCGTCAACAACATCCACAGCAAGACGACCCGCGCAAAAACGCCGCAGCCTGCTCCGTGGAAAAGCTCAACAACAATACCTCAACAGAAATCATCACCCCGAAGCAACATCCACAAGCAAAATCCTACAAAGGCGACAGAAGTTCAAGATTCCAAGAACTCCTGGGAGAGTTCGAAACAGAAACTCGCATAGAACCAAAACGACAGATCCTCAGACAAATCCGCAAGGAACTAAACCTGAAAGACAGAGGACCACTGCCTCGTAGGATCTTCCGCGGAGACGACGGCACCATTGCCAAGCTCTGCAGAGACCTGGGTTACAAGGAAAAGCGACACGAGGCAACAACAATAGAGCCAAAACACCCATCCGAGACTCGAGGCAGCCGTTCCCGAGACCCCCAAAAAAAAGAAAATACGAAGAGGAAAAGGAAGAAAAAGGATCAGAAAAGCGACCCGCACATCCGCGCGCAACCAGTCAAACTCTCGCGACACCACAGTAACACAGACGCCGAACCGATCAATCCCAACCACGACAGCACCGCCGATGCTTCAACAGACGAACCAGCACCCGCACCGCCATCCAACAGCCCGGGCCCCAACACGTGTACATAGCCGGAAAAGCAAGCATAAGACAACACAAAGAACACAACCCGACAAGAGAGCGCACACCGGCACGTCGAAAACAAAAAAAAAGCGCGATGAGCCATCCCCATGCCACCAAACTGCAACGAACAACACATGAACACGGGCAACCAGTGCAACAAGAAGCATCACGACCAGCACATGGCAGTGCAACACCCACAAGCACAAACATGACTCGAGCTCCAGCCAAGCCAACCCGCGCCGCCCGTTCAAACAACCACAACCCCCAAAGCGCGAACATGAAACGACCGTGCACAGAGAAGATCCCACCCATCCAAGTGCGTGTCTACACCACAGCAGGCAACCTAGTAGCCGACCTACACCTGGACGAACCCATAGTCGTGCGGAAGATAAAAAACAAACTCGTCCCGGTACTCGGAGTATCCAGATACCGACAGACACTGCTTCAAGACACGCGCCTCCTCGACGACAACGACAAAATCCGAAGAACCGCACGACTGCAAGTCGTACGCTTGAACTACATCCCCACCTCCACCGACAACATCCGACAGCTCATCGATGCCAGCTTCGAAAACTCCGAATCCGAAGTCGAGGAACTCCTGAGCAAACCACAGGACGTCAACGCATGCCTGCCCGGAACAGCATATCCCAACACCGCAAACGGGACAACCACCGCCCTCCAAGCAGCGGCAAGTGCAAACAACGCGCACATCCTGAAAGTCCTCTTCCAAGCGCATGCCGACGTGAATCGCGACGGAAACGATCGAGCCCTGTCCCACGCAGCAAGCCAAAACGCGGAGGAAGCCGCACGCATCCTGTTGCAACACCGAGCAAACCCCAACACAACAGGCCGAAACGGACACACCGCCCTGCTCTACGCCGTTTCAGGCGGATACCACCCACTGGCGACACTGATCCTAGCGGCAAGAGCAGACCCCAATCAAGGCAACGAACCAACGCGGACGCCGTTCGGCGTCGCTTGCCAGAATAACGACGAAGAAATGGCCACCACGCTTCTGCTAGCCCGGTCACACGTCCACACCACGCGACACCGGCCTCCCCACTACGAGTACAACACGACCGCTCTCTGCGCGGCCGCCAGCGCCAACTGCGTCTCCGGCCTCAGACTCCTGCTCGAAACATCAATCCACGTAGACAGCCAACTAGACGCCCCGGCGCTATGGTACGCAACATGGAACGGACGAACCGAAGCCATAGACTTCCTGCTCGAGCAGAAGGCCGACGCAGAGAAACGCCTCTTACACGGTGGAACGGCTCTCTCTGCCGCAGCTTTCCAAGGTCACAACGCGATCCTCCAAAAGCTTTTGCACCACTGCAAACTCCAGTCAGAAACGGATGCAAACGTTTTGCAAGAACCGCTTCAGCTCGCAATGTGGAGCAACAGACCCGAAACGGCCAAGCTTCTGCTCGATGCCAAAGCCAATCCAAGCGACGCCCACAGCAACGCAAATCTTCACAGAATCCGCGAGCTGCGCCGATATCAGTACACGTGGCCCTTGGAAGCACTGCTACCCACCACCGACAAACTCCGTCTCTACCAGTATCTCCAAGACAGCCAAACACAAGCCCAGAGTCCTGATACGAGCGACAGTTCATCGGAACAAGAACACGAACCGTGAACCTCTCCCACACAATGAACACACAACCCGACGAAAGACGAAAAACACCCTCTACGTCCAGACCCAAAACAGCCAAGAAGCAAACCCGTCGGCGTCCCATTCACAGCAGCCAAACATTCAAGAAAAGAAAATAGACGAAAACAGAAAATAAAAAACAAAAAAAACAAAAGCATTCATGCCGACCTTGTGATGCAAGCACAACTGCATACACACCAGCAACCCAAGCTTCACTTTCCGCAGATCAAGCTCTCAGAGCACCAACTCAAACAAAAAAAGGGGACCTCACGGCACCTTTACAATCCCACCAACACATCCAAGCATCGAAACAATACGACCTCCCAGAAGCCCAACTGTCCCCTCAGAAGCAACGTGTAAATCCCAGCAATTCCCCCGGCGCGGTCATGGCACCCAAGATTCAAGAGCTAACCCGATCGCACACGCAAGACTGGTTGCAGGAGATCATCACGCAACTCGGCAAACAAGCACAGCGTCAGAAACAGAAACAAAGACTTCAATCCCAACTTAAAAAATCATTCGGCAGTTGCTGGTCGCAAAAACGCATCACAGAACTAAGGAGTAGCTCAGACGAAGAAGTGGCTGCATCAGACGCCAATGCCTCCAGCCAGCAGTCACACATCCACACCGAACCCACCCACGCCGACAAGAGAAAAGCAGACCTCCCCGCAAACGGCAGCCAAAAAAGACAAAAAACTGAAACATCCTCCTCCTCGTGTCCAAGAAAACCAATCCCATGCAAAGAACAACTCAGCGACACTACAACGGACAGACAGAGCAACAACACCCACGACAACCCAAAGGAACCCATAACAAGGACCCAGTACGACCAAGACACCAGACGAGCCAAAGGGCTCGGACGACGAGGAGCCGCTGCCGACAATGCAAGGCAGCAGCAGAAACATGCAGGTGAAAAACACACACACGCAACAGATTAGAACTTGCGGCAAGGACCCATTCCAAAGCACGAGAAGCCACCAAACCGACCCAAATACAACCAAGAAGCTCGAAACAGCTATGGGTACGGCACGCGCGGCCGGCAACCCGAGCATAGAGCATGTGACAATCACTTACACAACATCTCCTCAACACAACCCCCGAAGCAACGCAACGTTCCCCGAGGTCCAGTACCACAACCAAACCGCCCAAGTCACCAAACGGAATGCAATCAAGAAGAAAGATCATGCAAAGGCTTCGGCAAAAAGGGCCAGAACCCAAACGCGTAACCACAAGCACCCACTAGAACAGATTCTCCTGAACACAACCCCCGAAGCAACGCAACGTTCCCCGAGGTCCAGTACCACAACCAAACCGTCCAATTCGCCAAACGGAATACAGTCAAGAAGAAAGATCCCGCAAAGGCTTCGGCAGAAATGGCCAGAACCCGAGCGCGTAACCACAAACACCCACTAGAACAGCTTCTCCTGAACACAACCCCCAATGCAACGCAACGTTCCCCAAGGTCCAGTGCCGCTGCCAAACCGCTCAACTCGCCAAACGGAATGCAGTCAAGAAGAAAGATCCTGCAAAGGCTTCGGCAAAAAGGGCCAGAACCCGAGCGCGTAACCACCAACACCCACTAGAGCAGCTTCTCATGAACACAACCCCCAAAGCAATGCAACGTTACCCGAGGTCCAGTACCACAGCCAAACCGCCCAAGTCACCAAACGGAATGCAATCAAGAAGAAAGATCATGCAAAGGTTTCGGCAAAAAGGGCCAGAACCCGAGCGCGTAACCACCAACACCCACTAGAACAGCTTCTCATCAACACAACCCCAAAACAACGCGATGTTCCCCGAGGTCCAGTACCACAACCAAACCAATCAATTCGCCAAACGGAATGCAGTCAAGAAGAAAGATCCCGCAAAGGCTTCGGCAAAAATGGCCAGAACCCGAGCGCGTAACCACAAACAACCACTAGAACAGCTTCTCCTGAACACAACCCCCAAAGCAACGCAACGTTCCCCGAGGTCCAGTACCACAACCAAACCGCCCAAGTCACCAAACGGAATGCAATCAAGAAGAAAGATCATGCAAAGGTTTCGGCAAAAAGGGCCAGAACCCAAGCGCGTAACCACAAACACCCACTAAAACAGCTTCTCCTGAACACAACCCCC